ACAGTGTTCCTTCTCTTCATCAATTGAAACCTTAGTCAGAACCCTGAAGAGGGTGATACAATGCTGGATCTCATGTATAATTTACTTGAATTGGTCTTTTCAAACAAGTGATTCTAATCTATAATCCAAATTGTACTTCATTCTCCTAGTCTAGCAGTAGATTGGTCTGCAGATAATTTGCACAGAACACTGAATGCCAAACTGATCTTTCATTACAGTAAAGTCTGTCTATAAACATTCTTTTAATTATAATTAGAAAAAATTGTTTTTTTTTTTAATTGTTTAAAATTTCACTTGCTAGCTGATAATTTAATATTTCCATTTTACTTAAATTATGCAAATAATACTCTATGAACATAACTTTTTCCCTGTGATATAATCTTTACTTGAAGTATACAAATTTCTCATTTTCTCTCCCATAAACATCCAGGGTTTTAAAAATGTTTAGAAAGAAATATTGTTATTTCTCTAGTACCACACAAGAGTACCAAGAAATGGTGGGTTACACAAGCTTCTGTTAACACACACATGTCTTCCCATGTCAACACGGGGTGAAGGCAGTTTACATTTTTAAGGTATCATTGCAACACTTCTCCCATAGGACTACTAAATAAATTTAGGTAGAGAGAGAATCTCAAGGTGTTACCAAGATGTGACACTTTCAGTGACAGTGTTGTCTTCCTTCTCTTCATCAATTGAAACCTTAGTCAGAACCCTGAAGAGGGTGATACAATGCTGGATCTCATGTATAATTTACTTGATTTGGTCTTTTCAAACAAGTAATTCTAATCTATCCTCCAAATTGTACTTCATCCTCTTAGTTTGTAGAGAGGTATGTTTTAACATGCTCCATGAGAGGACACCTCTCTAGAAAGGACAGTTTCCATTACCATTTTTACTATCTAGAAACTCTCTGGTAAGAGGGCACCTCTCCTTAAAGGATACTTTGACTCTACAACTAGGTTTTATCCTTTACAAAGAAGTTCAACTGTATATATATATATATCAACATACAGTAAAATCTCACTAAAAGAAACCTGGGATACACTGAACCTTTCCTTATAACAAACCTGAAATTAACACATACAGTTAACTGTCTTTAACGAACCATGGCTATAGTCAACCACAGGTTCAGTTCCATTGGGAAACCCCCAATTTGCTATAGAGGGATTTATTTATATAGATATTACATTTCCTCCATAATGTGTGGAATGTACTGATGTATGTTGCACACACATATGTAACTATGTTCTAGCAATGCAAAACCGGATTAAAGGATAAGGCAGGGGGGGGGGGGGGTATCTTTAATCCTAAATCTTTCAATGTCAAGATAGCTGTGAAAGGTTTGGACAAGTCGTGGTGGCTATCTACTTGGTTGTTAAACCGGTCCTCTCTACCCTAGTAGTTAAATAGGCTTTGGAGAAATATTCTTTTGAGGTATTGTACTCTGGTCATTTTTGTCCAGTTTTATAATCTTCTTCTTTCTTATCCCCACTCAATCATATTAAGATATCAAGTTGTGACCCTTGATGGTGTCTGTTTGACAACCATCATGACTGGGTGAAGTAGAATGCATCTGCCTTTGTCATTAAGACTGGGAGCACTACTCAGTGGTAGGCCGACTTAGCTCCAAAAGAAATGGCCGCCTCTGACATGAGGAACAATGTGCAGCTGCTCCTAACATAGAGTAAAACACTGCTCATCCTGTATTCCTAGATCAGGAGACCTTACAGGGTACTATCAGCCGGGCCAGCTGAACCCAGGCTTTTTAGTGAGCTTGTTACTGCTCCCCCCTCCTCCTTTTTCATCCGGGCTTGGGACTGGCAAAGGCAGAGATCAATTTTATAATGCTTCATATGAATGAAATAATGCAATAGATTTCTGGAGATGTTTCTTTCAATCATTTTTATTATTGTATTCTCTCAAGCTTTGGGGCATTTCCACCTTTCTAAAGATGTACAAAATGAACAATAATGAATGTTACATTATTGTTCAATTTGTATTCCTAAGGTAATAAGACCAAATCCAAATAAATAAATAGTGTGATGTTTCGGTAACAGCGTTGTTACCAAAACATCACACACTATTTATTTAGATTTGGTCTTATTACCTTGTGTTTATAATCTATAATAATCCAAATTGTGCACCTTATCTATCTGTACTCCTGCAGAAGAGTGGAAATTCCTGAAAGCTTGAGAGAGAATGCAATAATTAATGAAAAAGAAACATCTCCAGAAATATATTGCATTATTTTAATAAATAATCCAGGAGATTCACATCTAATGTAATGCTTCACATGGCCAATTTAATCTTGCAAGGAATATCCATGTTGGTGTCGCACTGTCATTGAATGGATGATATGACAGAGATTCCAATTTGGGTTTAATTGTGAGTAAAATTCCTTCAGCAAGTTAGAACAAGACCTAATCTAAATAAATTTATTAGTGTGTGACGTTTCGGCAACAACATTGTCACTATCATCAGACAAAAATCAATAGATTTTATTCTTTTGTCTGTGATGATGGTGACAATGTTGTTGCCGAAATGTCACACACTAATAAATTATTTGGATTAGGTCTTATTTTCTTTTATTATAATCTATAATCCAAATTGTGCTTTATCCTAAATGTTACAAATTCATAATGTTGGATTACTGAGGTTTTATTTTCAAGAAAAAGAGTTTTACTAATGTGTAGGTCTCCATATAGGGATAAACTAGCTGCCTGGGTTCTGACCAAGTAGATAAGTGCTCAACCAACCAAACAATATACTTTTACCAAATGTCCGTCCATTAGTAGTTGTTATAACTCCGCCCTTGCCGGTCCCAAGCCCGGATGAAAAAGGAGGAGGGGGGAGCAGTAACAAGCTCAGTAAAAAACCTGGGCTCAGCTGGCCCGGCTGATAGTACCCTGTAAGGGCTCCTAATCCAGGGATACAGGATGAGCAGCGTTTGTACTCCATGTTAGGAGCTGCTGCACATGGCGTCTGTTCCTCATGTCAGAGGCGGCCATTTATTTTGGAGCTAAGTCGGCCTGCCACTGAGTAGTGCTCCCAGTCTTAATGACAAAGGCAGACGCATTCTACTTCACCCAGTGTGGAGATAAGAAAGAAGAAGAAGAAAGAGTAGTAGTTATGGGAGAGAACTGGAGAGTCAGAAATAAAAACACTCCCTTAGCAGGCAGATCATCGGCAGATTTGAAATTTAAACTATTTTTGACTCATATATGATTCTTTTTGAAATAAAATAAATTATTTTTCAAAGAAAATCATGCGCATCAATGCAAATAGTTTAAAACCCCACTCTCTGATTGTCCAGAAGATGCTCTCAAAGAGCTAACAAATAGAGAGCTGTAGAAGTTTGGAGAGGGTCAAATGGAGAGTTCTAAATGAAGTCCTCAAAGGGAACAGGCCATGTAGTCTGGGGAACATTGAGTGGAGGATTGAAGGGACTAAAGAAGGTGACAATCTAACAGAATGGTGTGGCTCCATGATGGCCGCCAACCTTCATATAGAATATGGCTGGCTGCACTACCTAAGTTTTAACCTATATATATATGTTATAAAAATAAAATTTGAATGAGATTTTCTGTTGTATTCTTGATCATGTTGAGGATTATGGTAATGGAAATGCAGTCGTGGTTAAATATCTTGAAATAAAAATAATAATGGTTTTGAAGATCAGAGGTTGCTTTAATTGAGCTTATGGGATATAGAAAATAAACATAATTGATAAAAGTACTGCTGGCTTAAGGCGAGCAGAACAAGGAAAAACAAAAGATTATTTACATAATGTACAAAAGTTTTGAGCTGGCCATCGGGAAAGAACGAGTTTTTTATAGGGGAGAGCATGACCTCTGGCGGTCGATTTAACTGAGTATTTGGATCTATGAAATATAATTTTTTTTAAATAGAATAATATTTTAATATAACATATATATATATATATTTTATTATTATTATTATTATTATTATCCTCCTCCTAGTTCATGTGGTACAGGCCATGATAATCATGGTGGGTAGAAGTTGGTAACTGCTTTTACCGTAAGTGCACTACATATCTGCAATATGGGAAACATTTCAACTTTTGCACTTACAAGTGTGCCAGAGCCCCAATTTTTTACTTTCACTCACTTGTGGGGTTGGACTTTTGCAAGAATCGAGGGCCATTGAAGCTTTTTTTTTTTTAGAAAAAAGTAACCAATACGGGATTCGATCCCGGGTTATGACTGTCTTAAAAGCGGCAGTTTATAGCACTTGTCCACCGACCCCCACAACATGGTTATTACAACATCAAGGGAAGATGTTATGGTGAGGTTTGACTGTACCTGCCAAGACTGAGGGATATACACATAGGGAATCTTTTTTGATATCAAACTGAAATATTTTCTGGGGATATATTTGGGAGAGATTTCTGTGCAGACAACACCTGTTTTATTCTGTGCCAGGCTTAGTCACATTAAATACCTTGTTAATTGGACACCACAATTCAACCATGCTTTCATGTCCTGACCTCTGCTATCAAATAACCAATGTTAATTTGACTAAACGATAATTCAAGGTTTTTGGCAACATTTGATAACATGTAAGACATTAAAGGTTGATCAGCTAGAATGTACATTGAATAGAACTCCGCCTTTGCCGGTCTAAAGCCCGGATGAAAAAGGAGGAGGGGGAGCAGTAACAAGCTCACTAAAAACCTGGGTTCAGCTGGCCTGGCTGATAGTACCCTGTAAGGGCTCCTAATCCAGGGATACAGGATGAGCAGCGTTTGTACTCCTTGTTAGGAGCGGCTGCACATGACGTCTGTTCCTCATGTCAGAGGCGGCCATTTCTTTTGGAGCTAAGTCGGCCTGCCACTGAATAGTGCTCCCAGTCTTAATGACAAAGGCAGACGCATTTTACTTCACCCAATCATGAGAGATATGAAAGAAGATGAGAAGACATTGAATAGGATTCTAGCTTAAAGCAAACAGCCATTAAAGATTTCTTTAAAAGATAAATGTTTTCTCCCGGGAATCAAACCTGGTCCGCCCGTGTTGCAGGCTAGCATTCTACCACTGAACCACTGTTGGTTAAAAATGTTTCTCCCGGGAATCAAACCTGGTCCGCCCGTGGTCCGTTCAGTGGTAGAATGCTCGCCTGCAACGCGGGCGGACCAGGTTCGATTCCCGGGAGAAACATTTTTTTTTTAAAGATAATGATTTTTTTCTTAAATAAAATTTTTTGCCTTTTTAAAATTTTCTATCTATTGGCTTTCTTCTTCCATTGCACTTATTTACATAGATTAAAATAGTATATGTAATTTTTCCTTTGTTTCAAAATTGTATTATTAATACACAATTTTTTCCATCACTAAAAATTAATCAAGAAATATTCTGAAAAAAAAAAAAAAACATATGAATATATGATATCATACACACAATTCACATTATTAATTAAAATATATTAAAACAGCATTTTAAAAAAATATTTAAATTTTATATTTGATATCTCCTAGAAAAATGTGTCCGCTATAATGTGTCCTCTGATCCTTTGGGAAATCAAATTAAATAATGGTTAGACTATAGTTACATTTGTAGTATTTTGTATTGTACATACAATAAACTATTGTAACTTAAACAATTAGGTACAATTTGGATTATATATTATAAAAACAAGGTAATAAGACCAAATTCAAACAAATAAGTGTTTGATGTTACGGTAACAATGCTCTTACAGATGATAAGGCACAATTTGGATTATAGATTATAAACATAAGGTAATAAGACACCAAATCCATATAAGTAGTGTACGAGGTAACAGCATTGAAACATCACACACTATTTATTTGGATTTGATGTCTTATTACCTTGTGTTTAATGCTGTTACAGAAATGTCACCCCTTATTTACATATTGGATCTTATTACCTTAACCTAAACTCAATTTGACATATCTGAACCTAACTTAACATGTTTATACACTCTGCTGCATGTTGCTTGCAGTGGTTGGCAAAAATGTGTTATCCATATTTGTGTTGTTTTAAATGGTTAGATCTCTCTTCTTTCTTATCAACACTCAATCATTGTATTATCTTGAGCAATTTGATACTAACTTCTAAAAAAAAAAAATTTTTTTTTCTTGTTTTACTAGAGAAAAATAATAATTACTGAGTAATTCTTTGCATACATTACCATTTTATATTCAATGTTTAATCTTGAAGTCTGTTCTTACTTAAGTTATTTTAATAGTTTTCTGAAAGCTTTCATTAAGAAAGACAGAAAAATTTTAAATTTAATGTGAATACAAGAGAGTATGAGAAAAATATAATATTATTATTTATTATAAAATAACTATTATTATTACAGGCTAAATCAATCAACATTTAGAAAAGTTTATTTGAATTGTAAAATGTACATATAATTTTTATAAAAGTTGTGGCAAATTATTCTATATAGTCATATATAATGACCTATATAAAAATAATTTAAAAAAGAAAGGGGGGAAAAGGGGTGCCTTTTTTTGTTTTGTTGTAATTTTTTTTATTTAGGAGCATTTTTAATACTACTATTGAATGTCTTATTGAAAAAATGTTGCTTATAGTAGCTTTTTAAAATTAATATTATCTCATATATATATATATATATATATATATATATATATATATATATAATACACATTTCAAAGTATAAAAACCCCATTTGAAAAAGCATTTAAATATTTGAAGTTTTGATTTTTTTTTTTTTATGAATCTAACATATGCTCATTTTTTCAATTTCAAATAACGTTTCGTATGTTAATTTTTAACAATGATCAATATATATTGAATTCAAAACTCAATTATAATTCGCTATATTGATAGGGTACACTACTAGTAGATGGAATAAAATGGACTTACCTATCACTTCGCCTAAATCGTATCCATCTTTCGTATTAGGCCAAGGCGGAGTTGTCTCGGCCATTTCAGATTTTAAATTATAAGTATAAAAATTTAACAACTACCAAACGATAGGCATCAAAAAATAGGATATTATAAATAAAACTAAAATGTGTGTGTATCAAAGTAGTCAGATTATTAAAATCCATAAGAAGTCTTCATATTACTCTGTTTTTTTTTTTTTTTTTTAATTCATGGCTCTGCAACAATTTTAAATTTAATGGAGTAAGTATTCATGTTTCTCATATATAGGTTTTTTAACTTTTAATTAGACATTTTTAAATTTATATATAGGCATTTTTCATTTTAATTTAAACATATGGACTTTTCTATATATTCCTTATTTAGGAGCATTTTGAAACAACCAAAGAATATTGAATATAGTTTTTATTATAAGAAAGGCTTGAAATAGAATTAGCGATGTTTGACATTATTTTTAAATCAGGTGAATTATTAATAAACAATTCCGAATCTTCTTTTCTTTTTCGCTTTGTTTCATCTGATTTTATGTTGATCAACTCAATAGATGAATTTTTCAGAGATAAACTCTTTTATTCCTTTGATTATTGTTGTTTACGACACTTTTAGATTTAAAATATTTTTCAATTCATCTCTTATATATATTTTTAAAGCTATACTAGAATTATCTTGTATATACTTTTCAAAAAAATAAAATCTAAACCGCTTAATGAAATTTTTTTCTGTCTAACTCCTCCTTCATTTATTAATTTTAATTAGCCTTCTTTTTTATAATTTTTGATTTTCAGAATTACAATTGATGCTCAATAACTTAGAAGTTTTGCATAGTTTCGAATTATAAGCATACCAACTTGATCCTACTGCATCCTCCCCCAAAGTCTTGCCCGCAGACGTGCCCACTCATCGTTATGGAAGCTTGGACCTTAGTCTACACCTAAGATTACCATAACAGAAAACTAAGAAGATTTGAGACCTCTCCAATCCGCCTTAAGTCATTCCTATACAAAATACGCCCTGGAATGACCACCACTACCATCCTTACTAGTCAGCCACTTTCTGGCAGATTTAGAGCTCTGGCATAGAGATTAGGGAAGTGTTAGTGACGTCAGCATCGATGATGATATAGGCTTAGCAAAATACGGTTATTCTTTTTGAGGATTTCTGGTTGTTTTGTTTGTACTCACGCGCGTATGTTGTAGTTACGAGGACATCCCTTCTGATAAAAACAAATATATATTTATTTAAGGAACGACTTGTTCCATTACATATATTGTTAAGACAAGATAGCGGTAAACAATAACAGCAAGTTTTGAAGGTAGTAGTTGGAAGTAGTGACATCATAGTGTTGACGTCAGCATCGATGATGATTAAAGTCAAAGTTTGTGTAACAATTCCCTCCTTACTTTGGCTTTATTCCCACGATGATGAGGCTCTCCAGGTGTTTCTTCATCTGGTCTCGGGATAGGTCCTTTGTGAAGATATCCGCCTCCATGTCCTGAGATGGCTTGTACAGAAGGCAGATGTCTCTGGATTCATAACAGTCTCTCAAGAAGTGGTACTTTCTGTTGATATGTCTACAGCGACTGCTTTGTTTAGGGCTGGAGATCCAGTTGATCAATGACTGACTGTCTGTATAGATCGCAGTTGGTTTTTCCATGAAATTCCATTCTTCCAGCTCTCGTAGCAGGTTTATTATCCACTTGATTTGACAGCAGCTTTCACAAGCAGCTATCATTTCCGCTTCCATTGTGGAGAGGGCGACGAGTGGTTGTTTACTACTTTTCCAAGTCTATAGTTGCTTCGCCGAGCTTCAATACATATCCGCCGTAGGATTTTCCGTCATGAGTGGTCGACCAGCTGGCATCGGTGTAGGACTTCAGGATTCCAGTCTTCCCTCTTTCAAATTTCACTCCTAGGTCAATTGTTCCTCGCAGGTATCTCATCACTCTTTTGATTGCTGTCCAGTGCATCTGTTTTGGTTGTCTGGAGTACTGAGAAAGTTTGCTAGTGATGTAAGCGATGTCGGGTCTGGTGTTAACAGCTAGAAACATTAGCATTCCAAGGGCTTCTTGGTAAGTGTGCTGATCACAATTGTCATCTTCAATATGATTGTCCAAATTGATTTCTTTGGAACCTGGTGTTGGAACTTCCTTACAAGTTTCCATTCCATATTTCTGCAATATTTGTTGTACATAGTGGCTTTGCTGTAGCGAAATTCCCTCCTTGTCTTGTATGATCTTGATTCCCAAAAACATGCCTTTACATGTTACATCCTTTATTTCCAGGTGATGTCTCAGTTTATTGATGAATCTGTTTGAGGTATCTTCAGAATCTGAGACAGTGATAAAGTCATCAACATATATCCCTACATAGAAGTATTTGTCTTCATTCTTCCATTTAAATAGGCAAGGATCAGATTAAGTTTTTTCAGTCCACAGTCATGAAGTACTTGACTGAATTTCTCATACCACGATCTTCCGGATTGAGGTAGACCGTAAATACTTTTGTTGAGTTTGCAAACTTTGTTTCTGTCTTGGACAAATCCAGCAGGTTGTTCCATGAATATTGTATTTCAATGTTTCCATTTAGATAGGCTGCTTTCACATCAAATAGTTTAATGACTGAATCTTTTGTTGCTGCCATTGACAAAATAGTCCTGAGGGTGGGCATTTTTAATTACAGGGCTGAAACTTTCGTTGTAATCTCTTCCTGGGATTTGGTTGTATCCCATTGCAACAAGTCTAGCTTTGTAAGTTTTGTTTTCTTGGTCTTTAGATATTTTGAACACCCATTTACTTTTGACAACTTTAGCGTTTACAGGTCTAGGTACCAGTTCCCATACTTGATGCGAGTACATGTTCTGTATTTCCTCAAGCATTGCGTTCTCCCAATGTTTCTTGTCTTCGCATTCGATGGCTTCTTCATAGTCTTTCGGAATGGTTTCATTCGTAGTAGCCAGAACGTAGTCATCGAATCTTTTAGGTATTGTTCGAGTTCTTTGTGGTCTGTCTGATACACTTGACTCTGTCTGTCTGTTGTTCATGGTATCTGGTGCTGGCTCTTCAATATCAACATCTGATAGAACATGATTGTCCAGTTGTTCATCCTCCTGAATGAAGAAATATGTGTCAGTGTCCGTATTATTATCAGTTTGCTTTTCTTCCGAGATGACATTATTGTTCTCTCTGAAGTGAATGTCTGCAGTTTCAAGAATGACTCTCGCTGTGATATCAAATACTCGATAAGCTCTTCTGCATCTTGAATAGCCTACAAATATTCCTCTCTTA